ACACACACACACACACACACACACACACACGCACACACACACACACACACACACACACACACACACACACACACACACACACACGCACACACACACACACAAAAACTGTCTGTATAAACAGCGCACAACTCAAACATGTCGCGCTAAGCTAGCAGCATGCAAAACAGGCACCCCCCCTCAAAAACTGTTGGTACAAGCTGCGTTCAGACATCAACAAAAATATAAAACAAATATATATATATATATATGTATATATATATTTATTGTGCTTTCAGCTCACATGAACAGTTTAGAGATGAAACCGTTTCAGCTTGGGGGGGGGAGGTGTCTAATTGACCTCTGACCTTTCTAATCCTGGTCTCGTTGGCACATGTCAGTAAGGACTGAGTGAAACAAACATTAATCAGGACCGTTAAAAACATTTAGGTTATAAAAACGGGTTCTGCCTGATTAGATGTAAAACTATCAGGAACATTAAACTCAACAGTTTTCAGTCGTATCACATGTTCTGGAGTTTTACCCGAGCAGAACGCTCCATGGTGAAGGCCAGGCCCGAGTGGACGATGTCCTTCTCCGACGCTCCCTGCGGTCACAGAACACGTCAGGTGGAGCAGAGGAAGAGGATGATGAAGAGCACCGTCATACTCACAGCGATCCGGGCCTGGAACTCAGAGGTCGGGACGACTGGGATGGACCCACCGTGTTTCCCAAACTTCTTCTCCAGACTCTCCTGGACCGACACTGAGGAGAAACGACAGAGTTACAGTGGCCGGTCCAGGTTCTACAGAAACCCACGGGTCGGACTCACTCAGCAGGTGGTGGTTGGAGTCCCGCTCGTACTTGAAGGTGAGCCGACCATAACTGACGTGGTTCAGGTTCTTCAGCCACTCGAAGTAGGAGACGGTGACACCCCCAGCATTCAGATACATGTCCTGATGGAGGACAGGGACTGTTACAGTACCTGAAGAACCGACCAGGACCAGAACATCTGAGCTGAGGAACAGAACCTGTGTGAGGTTTCATTTACCGGGATCACCAGAATGTTCCTCTCCAGAAAGATCCTGTCTGCTTCAGGTGTGGTTGGACCGTTGGCTCCTTCAGCAATGATCTGACAGAGACACAGACTCCAGGTCAGACTCTAAACTCAGAGACCTCTACCTGTCCAGAACCAGATCCCTGGCTCCTCAGACCTTGGCCTTGATTTTGTGGGCGTTGCTCTTGGTCAGCTGCTTCTCTCCAGCGGCGGGGACCAGGATGTCGCAGTCGGCCTCCAGGATGTTTCCTGTGTACGGTGTGGAGTTTGGGAAGCCAACGATGGTCCCGTTGGCCTGGAGACAGAAAATGATCAGAAACCTCCAGATGGATCAAGAGAACCACCACGGTTTGAGAGCAGACTGTGGGACCAGCAGGTCGTTCAGTTCTACAGCTACTTCAGGGTTCATGTCAAAGTCTGCTCTTTGATCTAAAACCAGACCAGTACAAACCAGTTTGTAGTCCTCCAGCTCTTTGGGGTCCATCCCGTTGGGGTTCCAGATGCTTCCGTCGATTTCTCCGATTCCGACACACTTTGCTCCGACGCGATGGAGGTACCGCATGGTGTGAAGACCCACGTTACCAAAACCCTGCAGTCACAGCAAAGTGCATGAAGGTTAGAAAGAAAAACTTCAACTGAGAGGAGCCCAACTTTTATCAGAACCAGAACCAGCATCACATTTCATCTGGGAGTATCATCCATCGATCTCTGTTGGAATACGCATTTTATTCTGAATCTATTGTTTGTTTTATTGTACAGCACTTTGGTTGGCCTTGCTGCTGGTTTTAAGAGCTTTATAAATAGTATTATGTCTTGTTAGTTCATAAATCAGTGAAAACGTTTCCGTCTTGTTTATTGTGTATGCACCTGCTAACAGGAAATACTTGTGGACATGAAGGCTAGTTTAGATCTGTGGTTAGAACATCAACATCAAGGATTTACTTTTTGATAATCAACTGCACATCAGTGTTTGACATGAGTGAAGGGTTTCATTTCAAACGCAAGAGAATTAGAAGGTCTAAAATTAAAATTATTTCCTTTAAAAGAGAAAAGGATTCAGACTCAAACTGCTGAAAACAGCCGAGCTTTCAGGAGATAGACTGAACTGAAACAGACTCTGAATGAGAACTTAGACCTTAAAGCTTGCAGAGCAGATCCAGTTTGCAGATGACATTCTGATCTATGGTGAGAACAGGGAACAGGTGGAAGAGAACTTGAAGAGGTGAAGTTGAGTGGAGTCCCTGTGTGTGAATGAGAGGGAGGCCGGTGGAACAGTAAGGCTACAAGGAGCAGAGGTCACAAAGGTGCAGGACTTCAAGTACTTGGGGACCACTGTCCAGTAAAATGTGTGATAAAGAGGTGAAGAAGAGAGTCCAGGCAGGATGGAGCGGATGGAGAAAAGTTTCAAGAGTTATTTGTGACAAAAGGGTGCCAGCAAAGGTCGGTATGTAGGTGCTCGGTTCTGTTGACTGGGCGGGGTGCCCTCCTAGAGTAACGGTAGGGGAAACACTTCTCTGGATTTGCTGAGGAAATGAGTTGTGGGCTGATTTGTGTAAAAAGCTCACCAGAAAAATGAGTGGACTCAGGCTGAGGCAGTGAGTTTAAGTACTGAATTAACTACTAGTACTTCTAGTACTAGTACTTCACCATTTGCTCAAGCCGAGATCGGATGCTTCTCCCCTCCCTCTCCGCTTTGCTGCTCTGTCTGTCTGTGAAACTGCTGTGAGACTCTCTTGCATTTCTTCCGAACCATAATTATGGACTTGTTTTGACCAGTTGGTCCCTCAACTCAATTTACAACATTTCTTCAAGAGAAGACAGGCTTTGGACGAGCCGATTTGCCCTGTTGGCACGTACGCAACTGGATATCTCATCGACTGGAAAACTTGATGATGTGTCTTTCTCTGCTGCCATCTGTGGATTTTAAGGACGCATATTTAATTGGATTCACGATAACCGGTTCCTGCTTTTTGGATTCAGCTGGTCCTGGTTTTTATCTACAATCAAGGAAGTCGTCAGCAGCAAATTTGGACCTGATCACGCTGCTTGCCTTTATGATGGCTTGGTTCATGTTCTGGAGTACCCGGACTCAAATGCTTTGGGCTGAATGGATCAGATCTTGGGAATTTTTACTCAGTCACGTTCCATCGGTGTGGCCATGTTAATTTGGACATTTCAGAACCGAGTGGACCAAACACAGACTCAAGGTTGATGTCATTAAGTTCTGCCTGTCCCCAAAACAACTGTGTGTTTATCTAAATGTTGGTCGCCTTGGTTGTCCTTGAAGGCCACCTTATCTGAATTTGCCTGGAGAAAATGTGATCTGACGCTCACCACCCCCTCCTTGAGGAATTCCCAACTGATAACCAGATGAACCAGCTGAATAAACTTTGTGTCATCATTTCAGAACTCTGGATTCTCAGGGGTTATCCTTGGCCATTCCTCGACATTCCTCGAGAATGTTTATGGATCTCACCAGAGGACATTGACCGATTACAGTGACCTCGAGAGCATTTGTAAGCGTTGTTGACCGCTCTCGTCTCTTCCTTCTTCCTGCTCTGCTCTATTGCAGAATGTCTACGTAAATATGTGCTTGTTTGTGAGAAGTGTTTTTTCAATATTAGGGGTTTTTCTCAGCCAAGAAAAATGTCTGATAGGAATTTTTTTCGCCTCCAATTCCTACATGTGTCCAGTTAACCACTGTTTTTGTCTGTCCAAACAGGTCTCTCTTGTAAATGAGTCTTCGAGGCTCAATGTGATTTATCTGTTTAAATAAAGGTTGAATGAATGAAAAATATATGAAGTGTTTGAAAACATCAGTCATGTGGCTGATATAATTTATCACATGCTGTGGTTCTGGTCAGTGCCCTGAGACGACCTCTGTTGTGACTTGGCGCTAGATAAATAAACTGAACTGAACTGATGATCGTGACTCTTCTCTTTCTTCTCAGTGTTAGTAGAATAATTAACAATAAAGTCCTAACTAAGTTAACTAAGTTATTAGTCCTAAGTCCCAATAACTAACAATGTAGCATATTTTATTATAACAAAACAACAACAAACTATAATAATAGCATTATTATTTTTTTAATTTCTTTATTTTACCATGAAGACATCCATTGAGATCATCAATCTCTTTTACAAAGATGTCCTGGAAAATTACTGTAATTGTTGAACAAACAAAAACACTACATTAGAATGGGGATGGGGGTATTGTGTTAACAGCTTAAGAGAACTGGGCCATTTTAGTGAGCGACTCAGATTAACCCGAGTCCTTAAAGTGAACTGAATTCATCAGCTATACCTACATGTAGCTGGCTCCATCTAAAGCTTTAACACCCATCTAGCTGTAATGTTTATACTGATGTGAGCTCAGGGCTGAGTGGTTTTGGGTTGTTTTGTTTTCCTGACGTAGTTCCGTTTCCTCCTGGGGAACAAAAACAAATCTGATCACGTCACAAAGCTCTGATGGATCTGCTTACAGAACAGTCCTGATTATTGACAGTCAACACTAAAGAGTCATGTTTCTTGTCACTGTGACATTTCCATGAGTCAGCAGTGGGATTAAAATCCTTTAAGTTTCATCAGTAAGTGATCACTGATGGATCCTGGATACAGAATGAACTTTGGATGAAGACTTCTTAAAACAGAGCAGAAGTTCTGAGCTCCTGAAGAGGAAGCTTAATTAAAGACTCTGCAGGTGATGAAGAAGAAGTGGGTGGGCATACCTGGAGGACGAATGTCTTGTCCTTGATGCCAGGACGGATGCCCAGCTGGCTCATGAAGGACGGCTCGTTGATGAAGTTCTCAATGCCGTGAAAGACACCCCGTCCCGTGGCGGAGATCCGACCATGGATCCCTCCCTGGCTGATGGGCTTGCCGGTGACGCAGGCATGAGCGTTGATGTCCTGAGGACAAAGAGACAGGCAGGTGGGGTGACTGATGGAGGGGACACATGAAACTGTGAAGAGGCTTCATCAGGTCCTCACATGGACCGATCTCTACCTCACGGTCAGGTCTGAGCCATCACCTCTCTGTTGTTGAAGGTTTTGTCTTGGAGGTTGACTTCTGTCTTTTAAATGGATCTCCATCTCCCTGCACATAATGGCCTTAATGTGTTCTTATTTTCTACTCCAATAAAAGTTGTTGTTTGTTACATGTGAAAACTCCTAATTATTATGAATATAAAAATATGTATATGTTTATTACAATGACTCGCTCATTGACTCCTAAGGACTTGACACTATTTTACCAGAGCAGTGCATTCAGGGGTGATGACGTACATCTGTTGTAGTGGAGACTAAATACAAGGAGTCAAGGCTAAAAAGTTATAACATGTGACAATAAAGTTGTATTTTGTATTAGTCTTTAAGCACGATATATGGGTCAAAAGGATCTATAGGTATTACTATAGGTATTAGAACTGGAGCTAATGTCATAAATATATATATATATATATTTATATATATATATATATATATATATATATATATATATATATATATATAAATATATATATATATATATATATATGGACAGGAGTTAATATTATATATATTAGCACTGGAGCTAACATCATATATATTAGCACTGGAGCTAACATCATATATATTAGCACTG